TTGACGTCGCCTGCTAAGATGAGATTCTTGTGATCTACTTTCCTGATAACATGCTCGAGTGAGCTAATTCCACTATTGTCATCCATATCCGGTGGAAGGTAGGCATTGACAATAAAGACTGGTATTTCCTGATGAATAACTGTCGTTGTAATTAAATTAGTAGAAAGCTCAGGGATTAGTGCAATATCAATCTTTTGGTTGCAAACTATTATACCGCTTTTCGGTCGTGAGTTCGTTTTTTTATGTAATACGCTCCAGCCACTATACCGCACTATTGTGTGCTGAACAGTGTAGGGCTCTTGTATAAGAAGCAAATCTGCATCAAGTTCATTGGCCGCCTCAATAGTTAATGAGCCAGCTGCCTTGCAGCATTCGGTGTTAATCTGTAGAATGTTAATGTTTCTAAGATCCATCGGGGCAATGATATGAATATGATTGATCAATGTGGCTTATGCTGCTAAAGTAGGTACAATACGGTTACGTTCCATAGTTCGTTTTACTGACGGTTTGTGCTTTTATCTTCTGTAGGAGTGTACATTCCCTGCTAAACGCATTGTGATCTGTTGCTTTCCTTTTTTCCATTGAGACTTCCCTATTTGCCTTCCTGCAGTTTATGCACGTTGGTGTTTTGTCTCGCCGTTTACACTCGGAATATCTGTGGTTTTTGCCACAGTGGCTGCATTTCTGTTCTTCTGTACAATCCCGGGCATAGTGATTGAAGCTGCAGCATTGATAGCAGCGCAGTACCGGTATGAAATCATCGATATTTACGTTTGCCCAGGAAAGTGATATACGTTTATTTGCTATAAGGGTGTTTCTAATTCTGGGGGATACAGACAAAACGATGTGCCGGCAATTTTCCCGGCATTTCCCATTTTTAAGGACAGTGCTGATCGTGCATTCCGCAGATATTTCTTCCTTGTCAAGGTCCCTCCATATATCGTTTTGACTTATCATTGCTTCCAAGATTTTTTCTTCTTGTATTGAGTTCGGTACATTTAGCAGGATGACTCTGGGTTTTTTCCCCTCTGAGGTCCTACAGTTTATCCTCTTTTCGATTCCTGGAAGCTTTTCAATCGCTTCCTTGAGCTTTTGGCAATCTTTTTTGTTTCCTACTCTTACACAAACTCCGTCATTCTTGACAGGCCGTACCAGTTTAACGTGTATACCAAGCTGATGGGGTTCCAAAGTGTTGAGGATTTCTGTTGTCACCTCTTTCATGTTAACTCTCGGGCCCTCCCCTGGGGGCTTGGGGTATAGTAGCACTGCATGATTCCCTCCAGGGCCGTCCATATGAAGTTTTGTGTTCAATGATTTGCTTATGACCCTTGTGGTGTGACTCGGTTTGTCCACTTTAACCATATCTGAATATAGTGGTTTAGATTCTGTTTTATCATTGATCAGCTTCTTTCTTGAGCGAAGCTCTCTGATAATACCATATGCCTGATTGAGGCAGCCGAATAGACGAGATACGCTGTTTCTTATTTCCTGTCGTTGTTTCTTTTTTACGGTACCAATAGCACGTTCCGGGCAGGCATCCATTACCCGGCCGAGGAGATAGCTGGCTTCCGTGAGCAGCTCCTCCTTGACATTCTCTGATGTCTTTAGCAGGCTGTCTTTGGTAGCTTTAGCTTCCTTCAATGTAGTTTCCTCTAAAGGTTCGGTGTTTATATTCAAATTGTGTGTAGTTTCTTCCATTTTGTCTCCCAAGTAGCCTATGTTGACTGCCTGGTGTTCGTAGAAAAGGTGATAGTTAAGAAGCTTTAGGAAGGACACAGAAAGTCGTTTGAACTATAGTTCGCTGGTTAGCCTGGCAGCGCCGATCGGCTAGATAAAGCTGAAGGCTTGAGTACCCGCCGATAGGCTGGACGACGCCGGAATGTAGATGGTTACTCCGATCGGCTAAGAAGCCACGTGTAAGAGACAAACGGCTTTGTTCTTCACCAGTTACCCTTGTTGCACCGTAGTTAGTAGCTCGTATTACTCAAAATTGTGTATACAGTTATGGTAGAGTTCTCTGTTAACGGTTTACAGTTGAGCCTGATCACAATGATACGATACGGGGCCCGCGATTAACACAGTTATGGCCGAGTACCCCGGTTTGCGTAACAGCGCAAAGATAGTTTATAAAAGTACAATAAATAAATAGAAGTACAATAAATAGCTCGATGTATAGAGCTTGAATTGTTGATTCCATTGATATAACGCACAAAAGAGACTACTCAATAGGAGCGAAGACCAGGTCCACGTGGTTCCCGGAGAACAATAGTCTTTGTTCTGATCCCCATAGAAAACGCCAATACTCCGTATGAGAGCTCCGGATTGATATAAAGTTTGTTAAAAGCACTTACGGTGTTCCTGTTGATCCTCTGTACCAACGATGATCCTTAGTTTAACGTTCGGGGCCCGCAATAGGCCCGAAAGTCTTCTATGATGATCTCGTTTATAATTCCTTTAAGAACGTCCTATACACAAAAACGCGCATATCATCTGAAAGTTCTCGTTGAGACGAATCCAGTGGTGTATATAAATCCATTCGTAACCCAAAAACACCTCCGATGGAACGATCGATAGTAAGAGCACAAATACACACAGCCCTCTCAGATCGCGACCCTAAGATTCTTCAGTAATATATATATAACTAGACAGCATAGCCAGTGCTTGGCAACTATTCTTAGACAAAAGGATCATAAAACAAATACAAAAATATTCAGAGGAGGAAGCCCAACACAAACTTGTAAACAAAGATCAGAAAATATCATTACAAAATAATAGATGCTTTTATTGGCGATATAAAAAAATAGATGACCTTATTTGAAATATTGTAGGCTCAAGGAACTTACGGAGCTAAAAACTTAGAAGTGGATAACTTGTAACCTTAAAATTTTGGACATTCCTTTTCTGCAGAAACTCTCTTTCAAAATGAGATTTTGTAATTATTGATGAATAGCTGTTCTCATCAAAAGCGTGACACTGCTAGACATGGCAGATATATGGCTAATGTTGGACAAATTGCTATAAACTTTTGGGTCATTCCTGACATAAAGTGAAAAAAACATGATAAATGCAAAGATAGATAAAACTTGTTTCCAGAGAATCATTAGATATACAGTAAAGCATGGTTTATCTGAATCAATTGGGGACTGGGGTTATTCGGAAGATCGATGTTTCGGATAACTGATTATGTATGAAAAAATATATTAATTTATCCCATCTTGACATTTTTCTCCATTGCGTGTCGCTTTGCGTTGAATTTTTGTCGATGTTAAGCCTAACAAAGACTATTGTATCGTTAAAAATTATTTTTTTATTTTGTATGAACAAAATAAATATATTGAAAAATATAAAAACAATAAAAAATTATACTTCAGAAGTTAATTTAGTATCAAAAACGTAAAATATTTGAGTAGCC